CTTTACTGGTTAGGTGCTTTGACAAGTCTCTTCTGTATGACCAGTTTTACAACATTATCACTGTGATTACTACCCTCAATCCTCTGGTTTAGTCAGACACACTAATGGCATAATTATGACTCAGTTGGCAGAATTTATTGAGGCCCCATAAATACCCTGACCAAATGTATTGCCGTTAGTTCTGAATCTCAGAGCCAGACCTTTTGGAACTCATAAACTCTCATCCTTTGTGACAGTCACAAGATGCCCAATGCAGGACTACTGATTCTTTTGACCTACAACTGATAAAAGAGGAGATGCTTCAATATTGCAAAGGCCTAACTGCTTCTACGAAAAGTAACCATGTTTTGGTAGAACAGTCTTTTCACAGTACCCTTGGGAAACAAAGACCTTATGGATCACGTCTTGCAACTTAAGAGGTTTTGCTGATTCAAGAATGCACTTCTAGGGACTTCCCTGGTCCAGTAACTAAGACTCCACACTCCCAATGCCAGGGTTTGATCTCTGGTCGGGGAACTAGCTCCCACCTGCAGTAGTTAAAAGTTCACATGCTGCAACTGAAGATTCCGCATGTCACAATGAAGATTAAAGATCCTTTGTGCTGCAACTAAGACCTGGTACAGCCAAATAAATAAGTTAATTAATGTAAAAACAACACCTCCAAAAGAACTCTCTTCAGCCTCTCTATATCTGGACTAGGTCTGCTGGAAGTTTGTTACAAAACCCTTGATGATAACATAACTCTTCAGATGATATCCAATGGCTATGATCTTAACAACATACAGACTAAAGTGCTTGAAGGTTCTTCCTCTTACCCCTTTTTGTTACTCAAATGTGACCTTAGTAGGTTTCTCATCTGGGTACTTTCCCTTTGCCATGAGACACTAAACCCCAGGAAAGGTTTTTCCTAACATTGAGGGGGAAAAGCTGCTAAAACTGGAAAACCTGACTCTTGACAAATGATATTTTCAGAAAAAGATCTTGTGCAGAAGGGGAAAACGTAAAAAATTTAATAAACAGAAACCAAAAATAGGATGGGCAGACCAGAAGGAGGAGCTCTCCTATCCTGCAATGATAACAGAGCCCAACAGGAAGAAGCAAGATACTTCTTTCCTGGCAAGGACTCAGCCAACAAAAAGTCATGGTTTCTTTGTTTATTAGAGCCCTCCCAACTGCTTTTTCCACTCTATAAAAGTGTTCAAATTCCTCTGCTGTATGAGGACTTGCAATGTGCCCTGCCATATTGCAGACTATGAGTTGCAATTTTCTGCTGATTCTGAACAAATCCTTCTTGCTGGAGAAATACACAGTGGTCTACTTGTTTCAGATTGAGAAGGTATAAGGTTAGATTATTGATTTGAGATCCCTCTTTTTTTTACTATAGGCATTAACTGCTATAAAAACATTTCTATTTACCGTTTTAGATGCAAACTATAAACTTCGACTCTCTGGGCATGATAATTATATCTTAAACAAAGCAAGGTGTTTACTACACAAATTACAGCTTAGACTAAAAATATCTAGAGAACAGGGGACTCAGTGCTTCAGAAAATATTCTCAATCATGACAGTCTAAATTTCTTGCCAACTGGACACATGAGGGCTTTCAGGAAAATCCAAACTGCTGGATCTTCAGTGTTGAATTTGGGGATAAGTGTAGAAGCCTACAGTTCAGATCAAGTGAAGACAAGCAGTCTGTGGAGGTTTTAAGGATATACTTGATTGATGGGGAAAAGAATGTGGAAAATGGGCTGGAACCAAGTATCTGTAAAGGCCTGTGCTTCTGACTGCTTCTATACAGTTGACTTCAAAACCTGACTAAATCTTATTTCTGCTTTCCAAGTTTCATATAAGTTATGCTTCAGTGACTTCTAACATAGGACCATAAGGCAACACATTCTAGAAAATATAGTTCATAGTACTCACATTAACATAATAAAGAGTCATTGCCAAATCTAAATTTTATTGTCCTCTCATAAAGTCTTTCTTCCTAATGGAAATCCCATAGTCCAAATATCAACCAGAAGAAATGACAAAGTGTAAAGGACAAAAGATAATAATTCACAAGAGACTGCACTGTGATGAATTTTGCATACTTATAAAGTAGAATAAGGTTCTTCAGGCAATGAAAAGGTAGCTTCTGCTAAGGAAGGTAGAAGATATTACATGTAAAATAAATTAGGCATATCCAGTACTTGCCACAGGAAGCCAGTGGGAAAAAAAAAAAACCAAAGTATCATTTTTCAATGTCCTTTTCCTTACACATAACTTACAAAATTAGGTAAAAATCAAACCTACTTGCATATTAGAAATAAACTTCAATTCATGGTTCCAATAGACTTCAAAACAGACATACAAAAAATTACCAGATGACTAAAGGAAAAATTCCCTATTAATTTTTTAGGAAGTATTGCTAAAGAGCCTCTTGATGAAAGTGAAAGAGGAGAGTGGCTTAAAAAGTTGGCTTAAAACTCAACACTAAGATCATGGCATCCTGTCCCATCACTTCATGGTAAACAGACTGGGAAACAGTGGAAACAGTGACAGAAAAAATCACTGAAGATGGTGACTGCAGCCATGAAATGAAAAGACACTTGCTCCTTAGAAGAAAAGCTATGACCAATCTAGACAGCATATTAAAAAGCAGAGATGTTACTTTACCAACAAAGGTCCATCTAGTCAAAGCTATGGTTTTTCCAGTAGTCATGTATGGATGTGAGAGTTGGACTACGAGGAAAGCTGAGCACCGAAGAATTAGTGCTTTTGAACTGTGGTGTTGGAGAAGATTCTTAAGAGTTTTTTGGACTGCAAGGAGATTCAACCAGTCCATCCTAAAGGAAATCAGTCCTGAATGTTCACTGGGAGGACTGATGCTGAAGCTGAAACTCCAATACTTTGGCCACCTGCTGTGAAAAATTGACTCACTGGAAAAGACCCTGATGCTGGGGAAGATTGAAGGCAGGAGGAGAAGGGGAGGACAGAGACTGAGATGGNTATGAGATGTCATGTGCCTATTAAAGAATGATGCATGAAGACCTGTCCATATATACTGAACTTGTATAGTTTTATTCCAGTAGTTTTCTTTTTCTGATTGTGATTTGAAATCTGGCTAAACATTCCCCCATACTGATTACCTTCTTTATTTTTACAGCATCGCTACCATATGACTGCTGTAAAAAATAAGAAGCATATTATTAATGAATGGCTTATTAATTATATTTATTAATAGTTATGACAATGAAAATTTTACCATTTTCAAGGAAAGTGTAGGTTTTCTGCACATTCCAATTGAAAGTGAATATAATAAAGCTCTGAAAGATAATCAGCAATTATTAAAACTAATACTCATAAGTGGTGATTCTGAATATGATTCCAAGTGTACTATTTTTCATACACTCAACATTTAGGATAAATTTGAGGGAAAAAAATGGTGCAACAATTCTAAGATTCATTAAGTTTTAAGGCTGGGCTGATGTATTTTCTTTGTTTTAAAATGTCATGGCATAGATCATCTTGAGAAAGAAGAATGAAGCTGGAGGAATCAGGCTCCCTGACTTCAGATTATATACCTCAAGACCACAGTAATCAAAACAGCATGGTCCTGGCACAAAAACAGACACATAGATCAATGGAATAGGGTAGAAAGCCCAGAAAAAAACTCATGTATTTATGGTTAATTAATCTATGACAAAAAAGGAAAAAATATACAGTGGAGAAAAGACAGTCTCTTCAATAAATGGTGCTGGGAAAACTGGGCAGCCACATGCAAAAGAATGAAATTAGAACATTCTCTTAAGACCATATACAAAATAAACTCAAAATGGATTAAAGTTGCAAATGTAAGACTGGATACTATAAAACTTCTGGAGGAAAACATAGGCAGAACACTCTTTGACATAAATCACAGCAATATTTTTTTGGATCTGTCTCCTAGAGTAATGGAAACAAAAGCAAAAATAAACAAATGGAACTTAATTAAACTTAAGTTTTTGCACAGCAAAGGAAACCATAAGCAAAATGAATAAACAATCTACTGAATGAGAGAGAATATCTGAAAATGATGTGGCTGACAAGGGATTCATTTCCAGAATGACATAGCTCATAAAGCTCAATATCAAAAGAGCAAAGAACCAATCAGAAAATAGGCAGAAGACTGACATAGACATTTCTCCAAAGAAGACATACAGATGGCCAACAGTTACATGAAAAGATGTTCCGCATCACTAATTGTTCAGTTCAGTTCTGCAAATCAAAACTACAATAAGGTGTCATTTCACATTGGTCAGAATAGCCATCATTAAAAAATCTACAAGTAATAAATGCTGGAGAGGGTGCAGAGAAAAGGGAACATTCCTACACTGTTGGTAGGAATGTAAATTGCTATAGTCACTATGGAGAACAGTATGGAGATTCCATAAAAAAATATAAATAGAATTACTATATGATCTAGCAATCCCACTTCTGGGCATGTATCCAGAAAAGACAAACTCTAATTTGAAAAGAAACATGCCCCCCAATATTCATAGAAGCACTATTCACAATAGCCAAGACATGGAAGTAACCTAACTGTCCACTGACAGATGAATGGATAAAGAAGATGTGGTCACTTACACAAGGAATCCAGAAAAATGATACAAATGAACTTAACTACAAAACAGAAACAGACTCACTGGCATAGAAAACAAACTTATGGTTACCACAGGGGAAAGGATGGGGAGGGAAGACAGATAAACAACAAAGACCTACTGTATAGCACAGGAAATTATATTCAATATCTTGGAATAACCTATAATGGAAAAGAACTAGAAAAAGAATGGATATTTTATATATATGTGTGTATATGTATATATATATATATAATTGAATTACTTTTCTGACTACCTAAAACTAACACAACATTGTATATCAACTATACTTTAATAAAAAATAAAATTTAAAAGATGCCATTGCATACTAATATTCTGTCATGGGACACTGCTTTCTCCTGTCAGTGTAACTCACCTCAGATTTGTCCTATGATTTTCATACTGATTTCCAATATCAAGGTCTTCCTGTCTTTCTCCTACAATGCAGACCAACAGAAAAATCACTATAAATTTAAAATATTAGAGAAAAGTTCTACATGACAAACCTATGACGACCCATGACCATGCCTGCTTTATTTACCAACATAGTCTCTTTCCACATTTTACCTCTTGAACATGTTGATAAGCAAACAACATAGGTTATCTAAAGGATTAAGTAATTAAGAATGTCATCATCCCTTACCTACTGAGGTCAAGTTTTTGAAGGTTTCCTGCATCACATCTCTGTAGAGTTTCTTCTGGGCTAGGTTCAACAGACCCCACTCCTCCGTGCTGAACTTCACACTCACATCCTCAGAGGTCACTGAATCCTAAAACATCCCAAGTTTGTGTGTGAGAGAATGGGTAGGATGAAGAGCACCAGCAATCTAAACTCAGTTCATAGGAAGTTCACATATGACAATGTGGTCTCCAAACGTTTGCTTTATAAGTTTGTCATTAGAACTCTCACTCTATGGTGATGCTCTTGGGATGGTGATGATCATGAATTCAAGAGCATCATTAACACAACGAATTTAATGCTACATTTGTCTTGTGATCACTGCCAAGTCTTTATTGCTCTCTTTGTCGAGACAGAACACCTTATACTTCCCTGATGGTACAGCCGATAAGAACCCACCTGCCAATGCAGGGGACATGGGTTCGATTCCTGGTCTGGGAAGATTCCACATGCTGTGGAGCAACTAAGCCTATGCATCACAACTAATGAGTCAGTGCTCTAGAGCCCACAAGCTGTAACTACTGAGCCCACATGCTGAAACTACTGAAGCCCATGTGCCTAGAGCCTGTGCTCCACAGCAAGAGAAGTCACCACAATGAGAAGCCCATGCACTGCAACGAAGAATAGTCCCTGCGTGCTGCCACTAGAGAAAGTCCACACACAGGAATGAAGACCCAGTGCAACCAAAAATAAATAATTAAATAAATAGAGCACCTTGGAGAAGTAAGAGAAAGGCTCTACAAATGAAAGAAATAACTGTATTTTAAGTACACCAGTTCCTTCTGATAAAAACTTTTCCACTCCCTCTTTAATATTATATTTTTGTAGCACTGTACAATCACAGGTTCACATCTGCATAAGGTTTTAACAAATAACAAGTGAAGAATTAGAAGGTTTTTCTTCTATTCCCATTACCAAATGTGAGGCCAAAAGTCCTGTGGAAATCCAACTTGTAACAAGAGATAACTAGACATACTGTCCTGAAGTATTCCATGCTAATGGAAGTAGTCCAATCCAGGTGGCTGAATAAAAATATTCTTGTGGAGGAGTACAAATTAAAAGTTGTATAATATTTATCACATGCTGGGTTTTACCTTCCTTTCTCTATCTCACTTTATGGGGCTAGGAAATTATTCAGTGTGAGAGTCCAAGTGTGAGGAGGAAAACAGGACAACTTGCACCTCCAAAAAAATCCCTATATTCATGTGCCTTGGAATGGCTTCTGAATAATTTTAAGACACAGAATTGCCCATACTGAGATGGTATGATCACAGACTTCTTTCTGGCAGAATCATAAAACTGTAATTTGGGCCTTGATAACCTTGAGAATCAGGTTAAGACTTGAAGTCTGCAAGGGCTTCATTAAAATCTACAATAGTTTCAGAGTGAATTTGCACAAATTATAAAAAACATAAAGAGTTCAACAGTGCTTTCCTCAAAAAATAAAATATCCTTTCTCTAATTTCAGCAACAACTGATTCCTGACTAGCCACTCTCGAGGCTGTCCTTCCACCTCCTCTCATTTCTGAGCTCCCCTGTGGGACACAGCAGCTTGATAGCCCATCCTATGTATAGGAATCCCCAGTGGCAAAAGTTTCCTAAATGCTGGTCTCTAAAAGAGACCAATTATCCATTGATGTTCATGAGAAGATTACAGAAAAAAGGCTACCATTTATCGTGACAATGCTTGAAGTAGAGTAACATGAAGGAAGGAACATCTCTCTTGTTGTGGGTCCAGGTAGTAAGAGAAGTTGCCTAAAGGTAGCCCTGATTACTCTTTATTCACTGGAACAACAGTGCTGCTCATAACAAATCCAACTACATCGTGTGCAAAAGACACAGTGAACATTAGCAGGTCCAGGACTGCTTACCCTTAGAAATGCTTGCTTAGAAATTTCATCTTTCAGTAGGATCCGTGGTTTTGGTAGCAAGCTCAACAACCTTATAAACATGCCTCTGTGAGTCTAATGTGTCTATGCGAAAAACAGGGTATGTAGTAAACTGATCAGAAGACGCCTACCTGAACAGCCCCACATCTCCTCAAACAACTCTGGAAACTAGGCAGACCATAATACACAAGTATACTCACAATTTATTTGGAACTGAGCCCATTCTATGTGATTACAGCAAGAGACAACATTTGAGAGCTTACTTCTGGTTTTCTCCATGCCAGATTTAATTCAATACTAAACAAGACTACTACAAAATTTGTAGTGATTCTCATAAAAAATTTTTAAAAATTATTGGGTGATGTCAAAGTAGACTGAAATAAGTAAAGTGATGGCACGTGTTCTTAGAAAGAATTCAGCATTGCTCAGATGTCACCTCTCCCAGATGATATATTAAATTATTAAATACTTAAATATATTAATATATTAAATACCTAAGACAGTTCTTTTTTCAACTTTATTTATTTATTTATGGCTGCACTGGGTCTATGCTTTTCTCTAGCTGTGGCAAGCGGGGGGCTACTCTTCATTGTGGTGCGTGGGCTTCTCATCGTGGTGGCTTCTTTTGTTGCAGAGCACAGGCTCCAGGTGCCCAGGCTCAGTAGTTACCCTGTGGCATGTGGGATCTTCCTGAATCAGGGACTGAACCTGTGTCCCCTGCCTTAGCAGGCAGATTCTTAATCACTGAACCACCAGGGAAGTCCCCCTGAGACAGTTTTTAGGGACTCAATAAAGACTACTTCTCCAAACTGAACAGGAAGAAGGAATGTCCAAAAATGGACAGGCCCCTATGGAAAAATGTGATGGCCTACCTCTATGGTAATTCAAATGATACAAGTATTAACAGAAAGAAAAACAAACAGAACCAAGGAAAGGAAAAGTGTCTTCCATAGGCCAGATTATATGTGGAGAGTTGGTTGAGGAGAAAGCAGGAGAGCAGTGGCAAATATCATGAACGTTTGGCTACATAAGAGACAAACTGTTATCCAACTGGAAAAATGCAGCATATTTCCCTCCATTCCATAGACAATAGGCTGCTCACTGTAGAATTAAATGTGAAAGACAAAGTGAAGCCACTGTTAGAAGTTACAAGTAAATATTTTATTGATAATAGAAAGAATATTGTCATATAAGCAAAAGAATGAGCTACAAAGTCAAAGGCAAACTCAAATATATTAAAATTAAGATTACAAGATACACAAAAAAAAGGGAAGAAAAATACCCTTTTGAGGATTAATTGAAGCTTAATTGAAAGATCAAGAATGTGGAAATATTTAAAAAAGCAAGAATTTTAAATTATTCAAAATATACTGGGGACTCCCTTGGTGGTTCAGGGGTTAAGAATCTGCCATCCAATGTAGGGAACATGAGTTTGATCCCTGCCTGAGGAAGATTCCACAAGCTGCAGAGCAACTAAGCCCATATAGGACAACTACTGAGCCCATGCCCTAGAGTCTGTGTTTCCCAACAAGTGAAGCCTGTGCACCAAAACTAGAGAGTAGCCCCCACACTCCACAAGTAGAGAAAGCCCACGTAGCGCAGGCAAAAATTAAAAAAAAAAAATACGATTTTTTTCCTTAAAAAAATTAGGAATCCATTTATCTTAGAAATAGTTCAGTTCAGTTGCTCAGTCCTGTCCAACTCTTTGCAACCCCATGAACTGCAGCACGCCAGGCCTCCCTGTCCATCACAAACTCCTGGAGTTTACCCAAACCCATGTCTATCGAGTTGGTGATGCCATCCAGCCATCTCATTCTCTGTTGTCCCCTTCTCTCCTGCCCTCAATCTTTCCCAGCATCAGGGTCTTTTCCAATGAGTCAGCTCTTCACATGAGGTGGCCAAAGTACTGGAGTTTCAGCTTCAGCATCAGTCCTTCCAATGAACACCCAGGACTGATCTCCTTTAGGAT